TCGACCTTAGTGCTTTCAACCCACTAGTGTTGTAAGAAGACTCACTTCTAACTAAAGATAACAGAATCGCACACTCGATTTGCTGCTAACACAGCTCCTCACTATAAACATAACCCACTTACAATCCTAATTAATAATCAGGGTTTTAATCCAAAATCATAGGTCTAATGATCCTTTAACATATCAAGGGCAAAAGACCATTTTGCCCTTCCATACATCACACATCTAATCCAAGCCCAAAACTCCACATGACCCAAGGCCCAAAAATAGGCCAACAGATTTCTAGGAGTCCGCCCAACATTACCACCTTACGCCCATCATACTGCATGAACTTGTGAAGGGGTTTTACGGGGTCTCGACCTACTACACTCAACATACTCATCAAGGAATATTGGCAACAATTAATAACGACGACTTCAAAACCTTTAGCGGCAACTCTTATCAATTGTGGTGGCAGCTATGGAGGGAATTTATGATGCGTCTTTTTTCAACCTTTAGCAGCGACAAAAATCATCGGTATTGATGTCGTTGTTATTAGGTTTAGTCAAAACAGAGTCCAATCTGTTGGATTAGATACTCAATCGGATGGATATGGTCAGAAACGTTTGACGCGGATTCGGTTCTTTAGGTACTACCGGTGACACCTTTAGAAACAGACCGTGTATTATTAATTAATTAAAACAATTACATAGGAACTCTATATAAAGATTTAATATTTACATTTGAATACCCTATACTTATTATAAATATAACTACATAGTCTAACATTCCCCCGCAAGTTGAGTGCGGGGAACGACCTGCAACTTGGATCATAAAAACTGATATCTCTGAGTAGATAAAGGCTTTGTAAAGACATCTGCGATCAGATCATCCGTAGATATGAACTTGACATGTAGTTGACTTCTTGCTACCTGTTCACGAACAAAGTGGAAATATACTCTGGCATGTTTAGTATGAGCATGCAACATAGGATTGGTTGATAGGTATGTGGCTCCTATATTGTCACATCAAAGAGTAGGAGGAGATGGAATCGATATGCCAAGTTCACACAAGAGGGATTTTAACCAAATTAATTCCGCAACAGTATCAGCAAGGGCTTTGTACTCAGATTCAGTTGAAGATCTTGAAATTGTCTTTTGTTTACGAGCGGTCCAGGAGACAAGATTAGATCCCAAATAGATGGCATATCCCCTTGTGGATCGTCTGTCTACTGGACAACTAGCCCTGTCAGAATCAGAGTAAGACTAAACTAGTGAGGACATAGAATCTTGCCAAAGAGCATCTGTGAAGGCCTGTAGTTGTTCACCGGATTGATGAAGAATCAAGAGACCGAGATTGGTTGTGCCTTTTAAGTAACGCAAAATGCGTTTAACTGCAGACCAATGGTTTTCTGTTGGTGCATGCATGAACTGACAAACTTGATTCACAGCAAAAGTAATATATGGGCGTGATAAAGTAGCATACTACAAAGAGCCAATAATTTGGCGATACATTGTTGGATCCGAAAGAGGTGGTTCATCATCAATATGTAAGAGCTGAGAGGGACTCATCGGAGAGCAGGCTGGTTTGCGATCAGGCCGGAACGTTGAATTATCTCGAGGACATATTTTCGTTGAGAAAGCATAATATTCTTCTTGTCAAGAGCAACCTCAATACCCAAGAAATAGTGAAGTGGACCCAGATCTTTAATGGAAAAAGTGGAGCTGAGACGATGTATAATGCGATCAATGGTTGTCGGGTTGTCACCAGTAATAATAATATCATCTACATAAACAAGAACATAAACGATAGGTCCACCAGAGTTGAGAATGAAAATCGAAGGATTGGTTTTGGATCCTGAAAAACCAAGTTGAGTTAGGGTTGTGGACAACCGGGTAAACCACGCTCGTGGAGCTTGCTTGAGCCCATAGAGAGATTTATGAAGAAGACAAACATGATTCGGTTTGGTTGAGTTAATGAAACTAGGAGGGTGTCTCATGTAGAGTGTTTCTTGTAAGTTACCATGTAAAAAAGCGTTTTTCACATCCAATTGGCACATAACCTACCGTTTGCGGTTATACACAAGTTGAAAGGGAGATTTGTTTGATGAGATTCTAGAAAGAAGACGAATTATGAGATAAACGGCAGTTTCAAAAGCAAAGTGTCAAAAACGTTGAGGAAGATAAGATTGGGCAAGAAGAGTAAGTCCAGTTTCCACAACATGACGATGACGACACTCAACAATTCCGTGTTGTTCACTGGTGTATGGACAAGAGTGTCACTGAATTATACTAAGGTTTGTGAAGAAATAAGTGAGAGGGTGAAATTCCCCTCCCCAATCGGTTTGTACACTTTTAAGTTTGGTATTGAATTGTCGTTCAACCATTGTAGTGAAATTTGTAAAAGTAGAGTAAACATCAGACTTATGTGCAAGTGGGTAAAACCACATGTGCCGAGTGTAATGATCAACACATAAAAGAAAAAATTGATGACCATCAAGAAAGACTGTGGGGGAAGGACCCCAAACATCACACTATACTAAATCCAATATTTTATTACTATGAAAGGTAGAGTTATGCAATGAAAGTTTAGAAGACTTGCCCAACTAATAAGAAGTACATAAAGTAGAACCAAGTTTTGTAGAAATTGGTAAAGAATAACTAGAAATAATAGAATTAAAAACATGTTCGTGTAGATGGCCGAGACGTTGATGCCAGATGACAAAGGAAGCTTTGGTGGCTGTGAAGGCAAGCTTGGGAAGAGACTTGAGTTGAGGAAGATGAAGTGAGTAGAGTTGTTATCACTTGGACCCAAAAGGAGGATATTGTGTGTAGACTCGTCCTTCACAACAAAGAAAGAAGTGTGAAATTCAAAATAAACATCAATGTCATGACAAAATTTAAACAGATAAAAGATTCTTTTGAAGTTGAGGAACATGAAGAATATTTGTAAGATTGAAATTTTTGTTTGGAGAAAACAATTTTGAAGAACCAATGTGAAGAATAGGAAGATGGTTGTCATTACCAACACAGAGTGAGTCATTACCACGATAAGCTTCGGAGTTGTCGAGATTTGATAAGTCAGGAGTAGCATGACTATTTGCACCGGTGTCAGGGAACCATGTTGTTGCTGATATGGAACCAGAATCTGAATAAGTGGCAACATTAGCTTGAGTGTTGGATTTGTTAGGCTGATTTGGGCACTGGTAAATATCCTATACCACAGCGGTTGCAGTGACCGTACATTGTGTTCTGAGTTGAAGCCCACTGAAACTGTCGAGTATTAAGGTTGTTATCACGACCTCGATTGTTCTAGTTCCCTCGTGAGTGTCCACGAAAGTTACCTCAACGGTTTTGGTTACCTCGATTATTGAATGGCCGAGAGGAATAGTAAACTTGTGGTTGTGTGTTTTGTGAGCCAGCAGGGTTTAGTTAATACCCTAGTTTAGAGGCTAACAACTGCAAATTATTAAGTTGGGACTGAATAGCAGCAAGATCAGGTAAAGAGTTAGTAAGAGTGCCTCCAGTTGTAGCAGCAAATACATGTGGTGATGTGGTAGTAGGTAAAGAGGCTGATTTGTTGATCATGTAATCATGATCAACCAAGAGACCATGCAGATCATTGAAAGTAACTGGTGGTTGACGAGCCAATAAGTTTGATTTCAAGCCATTATACTCATCACGCAAACCAGAGATGGTAAGCATGACCAGGTCCTTCTCCTTCATAGATTCGCCAATATTGGCCAGAGGCGGTGCATATTCCATTGCACGACTGAGGTAGTTAAGCGGAGTTTCGTCTCCTTTCATCTCTATTCTCAGAAATTATATTTTTAATGTGTATTCACGGGAGGCAGAATTTGGAGCATAGGCACGTTCTAACAAAAGCCAAAGGTCTCTAAAAGCCCTACCTTGAACATGCTGAAAAGATGCCTCATAGATGGTTGATAGAATCAGCATGCGAACATGAGCATCGTTGGCAATCCAACGACAATAACTAGGGTTATCAGTTACTGCAGTCTCTATTGTAATTTTCGGTTCACGACGTTGAATGGTGTCGTCTACATAACCAATCAGATGGTTGGTAGTTAAGAATGGTTCAAGCTTCACTTTCCAGAAACCATAGTTTGTAGGTGAGAGAGTGAAAGCGAATTCGTGGGTGTTATGGGTTGTTTTCTCTACAGCAGTTAAGGCGACAATTGTAACCATGTCGTTGCATTGATTACTAATTAGAAAGAGTAGAGAAAGATAGGCTGATGATCGACCAAATTAGGATTGGAGGCGGCAAGAGGTTTCCCTCACCCTGATACCAAAATAGACCATGTATTATTAATTAATTAAAAAATTACATAGGAACTCTACATAAAGAGTTAATATTTACATTTGAATATCCTATACTTATTATAAACATAACTATATAGTCTAACATTTAGCGACACAATTGCTTGCATGGCCGTTAAAAGTTATTGCCGCCACTAAAACTGTTGCTGGTAAAGGTTTTTTTCTTGTTGTGTTGACACAAAAATGTATGTCATAGTTCGTGTGTGTGGAGTCACATTATCCATATATAGTTAGGTCATTTGATCTCACAAGTATATGTATTAAAAAAAGTTCTTAACCAAAGTTTAAGAACCCATATTTAAATACCATGGAGAAAGCTTTTAACATAACATTGATAGTATGACTTTTATATAATCAAAAACTGCTAGTGGCCTAGTACTTACAAAGAAGATCAAACCAGCATCCATATAGCCCCTGTCTCTTTCTTTCTCTCTACACACCTCTTCCGCCCCCACCGCCACCCCAACCCACCCTAACCCCCGTTTTATGTAAAAAAATTGT